CCCAGTTGGGGAAGGTTGGTGTATAGCTTACATGATATGATGATGAGACCCACTTTTAATTCATACTTGGAGTTTGTTTTACCATTGTCAGTACTGATGTCATTCTGTTGAATACAACAGGATTGGCTGGGTAATCAGGTGGTACAAGGATGGGCCAAAGGAAAGTGCAAGAAAGTTGCTAAAGGAAACTCCATGATATATGTAGATTGTTACCACTCAGAAAGGATTGGCGTGGGACTCTGAGAATCATTTGTTGATCTCAACACTAAGAGGCATTCGAGTTGCTCAAGACAACTTCAGCTCTTTAAAATCAATAACAAGGCAAGAGGACTTGACATAAGTAGAACTAGATCCCTGAGCTTGATGGTAGGCTGAAAGTGCAAATATGGATAGGAAGAAAAAAATACCAGGCTCCAAGAAGAATTGGGTGTGTGAAGCAATTATTTGTAAGCAGAATGGCATTATTCCTGGAGGGGAAAATATCATTTTCAAGTATTCCTTGTAAGAAAGAGTCAGTTTGCAAAAGACATTGTTGTCTGTTCTGCCTTTGACCTTGTTGATCACATGAATCACTGATACTTTCTATTGCCAGCATTAAAGCATGCATGAAGAGACTTGCTCCAGTGTTAGGGGCTCACACACAACAGCTCCTGAACTGAAGTCAAACAAGCATATTTATATGATCATAGCAACAGAGGACCTTTCCAGAAGATAACTTTTGTTTCCCTCTTATGCATTGCTATAAATTTCAATGGTTTTATAGTCTCTTTGGATTGTACGTTTTAGAAATTTTAATCCATGGCCCTCCAAGCCTATGTTCAGTAATGCAAGGCAGCAAGCCATCTTGTGTGTATATTATTGTTTTTAATGGAAAGCTCTATTCTGAAATGATCTTCCAGCAACTCTTCCATGTGGATTTATTTCCCCTTTGTTCCATGTTCTATTTCTGCTTTTCAACTGGCTCTTTCTAAAGCTATTATTGTGGCCAGATGATATTTGCTATTAGGAAACATATCCTGGGACCAAACATTTGCACAACTTACTGTTTGTAGAGTGCTTGATGCTTCACCAATGCGGCCAGAAGTACAGGGGCTGCTTCTGTGGTGCGAATATATGTTGCAGTGGAACATGTATGAATAATGAAATCATGTAGATGGAGCTGATATGAATTATAGCCATGCACTCAGTACCCATATAGAAAGCAGAGTTCCAGTCAGGTGGGGAATGTTCATACTACCACCCAGCCTATGAGGTTGCACTGTGCACAATTTCAAGTAAGAGTGGCAAGGTTATTCTTGAATAACTACCAGTATGAACCTCAGCTGGTTCATTCTCTCAGATGTGAAGTGTTACTCTATAGCTAGGTCTGGATATGAGAAACATGTTGGCTCAACTCAGTAACCCCTGGGGCCATGACAACACCACTAGAAGATCCAGATAGAAAGCCATTCATTGTGCAAATGCAAAATTCTCTGATAAACTATCAACCCAAAACATTTGGATCAGAATATGAATTCTTTTGTATGAACATAATTTTGCTGTAACTGATGATGGTTAGTGGCTGTTAAAATGCAGAACAGCATATACCTTCCTCCATGCACCACAAC